GAGGCAGGAGACTCGCTTGAGCCCAGGAGTTGGAGGTTGCTTTGAGCGTGATGCCATGGCACTCTACCCAGGGGGATAGCTTGAGGCTCCGTCTCAAAAAAACAAAAAACAAAAAACAAAAAGGAATGTCACCTTAAAATATCCTGCACATGCTAAGTCTAGTACTAACTACCCAGACAACTCCTTACCATCCTCCTCTTCCTCCTCCTCCTCATCCTCATCGTCTTCATCTTCATCATCCTCATCATCTTCATCCTCTGAGGCAGGAGCAGCCGCTGCTGCTTTCATCACTGCTGGTTCAAATTCATCCTCTTCTTCATCTTCATCGTCATCCTCCTCTTCATCATCATCCTCGTCACTGTCATCCTCCTCATCATCATCACTGTCTTCCTTCTTGGCATTCTTGCCGTTCTTTGCCCCCTTAGCTGGAGTGGCAGCTCCCTTCTTACCAGGGGTTGCTACCAACACTTTGCCGGGTGTGCCTCCCTTTTTGCCAGGTGTTGCTACTGCTTTGACTGGAGTAACCATCTTCTTGGCCTGTGGGGCTGCTGCCTTTTTGCCGGGGGTGAGAGCTGCTTTCTTGGCAGGTGTGGCAACTGCAACCTTTTTTGTTGGAGAAACCACCACTTTCTTTGCTGGGGTTGCAGTAGCCTTCTTGCCTTTTTTCTGAGGGATGATAACCTTGAGAAGAAATAAAATCCAATTTAAGTCTGTCCACATACTCAAAAAAATAGTCCTGGTCCGAGTGAGTGTTAGATTCTGGCACCACCTCTGTGCCGTAGGTATTACATACACATTGGCAAGTGGTTTTTTTATTATGCCTGTGAAGTCAGAACGCTATTAGATAAAACACCCAAGAACAAAGAAACTTTCTGAACATTTAAAAATACCTCTGGAATTCTTGTACACTTTTTTAAACCTTAGTTTTCTCATTTGAAAACAAAAGTATTATCAACCATACATGTTCTTTAAGGATTACTTAGACATAAAAGACTGTGATAACTGTTACTAAATCATTTGAGATTGGTACAGTAGATGGTGGTACAGTCTAGCAAATGCTCAATTCTTAGAACTCAAAATAAAATGAAGAACAAACAGCCAACTGTTGTAAAATTATAGCACAGCACAGAATAAGCATGGTAGACAAATAAAAACCATCATTTCCTGACCCTTTCTACTTTTGGATTACTAGTTTTATCACATCACATGATGTTGTAGAAGAATAAAACTACTAAATTCTAAACAAACCTGAGCATGGAAAGTGCTCAATCCCAACCAGAGATAATACAATGGTGATCAGTGTTACTTTTTTTTGAGACAGAGTTTCACTTGGTCACTCTCAGTAGAGTGCTGTCCTATCACAGCTCACAGCAACCTCAAACTCTTGGGCTCAAGCAATTTTATTGCCTCAGTCTCCCAAGTAGCTGGGACTAAAGGTGCCTGCCACAATGCCCAGCTATTTTTTAAAGACAAGATCTTGCTCTGGCTCAGGCAATCCACCTGCCTCAGCCTCCCAAAGTGTTAGGATTACAGGCATGAGATACTGCGCCCAGCCCACGATTAGTGTTACTAAGCTTATATATGAAGTCTGACAATTAAATTTTTGACCTTACCCTAAAAAAGGGCTATAGGCTCGGCGCCTGTGGCTCAAGCAGCTAGGGCGCCAGCCACACACACCCAGGGTGGTGGGTTCGAATCCAGCCCGGGCCCGCCAAACAACGACGGCTGCAACCAAAAAATAGCCGGGCATTGTGGCGGGCGCCTGTGGTCCCAGCTACTTGGG